AAGTTATTTCTTTAGTTTTGTTTTTATTCAAAGATAAAATATTTGCGTTGAAGTAAGCTTCACCTCGTGACAGTGTCTCACTTGACATTCTATCGATCTCTTCTAAATTCCTGCTTCTGATTAAAAAAGTTGAGTCATATGCGTACATAAATACATCTGCGATGTCTAAGAAGGTTGGCAGATCATTCATATAGATTATAAACAACAGTGGCCCCAGGACTGAACTCTGAGGTACACCATGTTTGATTTGTATGATCCTGGAGGTCACATTATTGTAGGATATTTATTGTTGTCTGTCCGTAATGAATGTTTCAATAAATCGAAGAGCTGGTCCACGTATCCCGTATTTATGAAGCTTTTCTAATAGCATGCCATGTGAGACACTGTCAAAGGCTTTCAACAAGTCGCATAGAATTGCACGTGTATGTACTCCTACGTCCAGATTTTTTGCTATTGAGTGAACTATCTCAGTAACAGCTTGTGAAGTTGATCTCAGCGATCGAAACCATATTGGTGGTCATCGAGATGTTTTCCGTTTTCCAAAAATCTCGTTATTCTGTCTTTGATAATTACTTCAATTATGTTTGATATTATTGGAGTAATTGTTATATATCTATAATTATCACAGGTATTTATATCACCTTTTTTCATAATTGGGGTTGCTCTACAGTTTCAGATGTGATGGAAATTCTCCCTTCTCCATTCATGTATTAACTAGGTGTGCTTAGGATTTCCGGTATGAGTTTGATTATTTTGGAGCTTATGTTATATGCATCCGTAGTTGAACTATTTTTGAGTGTTTTTATCACACTTGTTATTTCTTTTTCATTTGTGGGGCTCAAGAATACTGAATCTTTCACAGTTATTTTAACGAGATCATCCCCAGATTCATCCGTAAGAGGTATTCAATTAATAATGTTATCGATCATTCACAGAAATCATTTGCAGTAAGGCAGGTATCGTGATTGTTACTTTTACCTGACTTACCCTGTATTTCATTTACGATCTTCCAAACTGTTTTTGCCGGGTCCTTACTGTTTGTGATAACGTTATCATACATACTTCTCTTTGCTTTCTTCACATTTTCTGTATAATTCTTTTTTTGGTTTGATACATACGTTTTATTTCGGAGTCTCCTGTGTTTATGTATTGGAGTTTTATTCGTTTTACATCCTCCCTCATAACTTTCAGTTCCTCAGTATACTACTTAAGTTTTAGAGCTTTTTGATTTATATTTTTCAATGGAAAAGCTGTTTCTATGGCATATGTGATATTTTCACACATAAATTCAGAGAGGATGTTTGAATCGTTAGTTAAATAGTAGCTTGTCCAATCTATTCTGTTTATACATTGTACAAATTCAGCTCTACCCAATTCACTAATATGTCTAACTTGTTTGGGCGCATTTTTACTCTGATTCGAACTATTTTTTATCTTGATTTCGATAAATTGACCATAGTGGTCAGAAATATCTTCTTTAACAATTCCAATTTTTTTATAGTTGAAGTTAGTGCACATGTTGTCGATACATGTGGAAGAATATTGAGTAACTCTCGTTGGTTTCAAAGTTATAAGAAAGGAGGGTATTATTGAGACTGTTTTTTTCTTTATTGTCTGCAAGAAAATTGACATTGAAATCTCCTAGCAGAATAATTTTTGGGAATTTTCTAATGAGGGATTCTAGCAGATTATCCAGATAATTTAAAAATATATCGACGTTGCCACGGTTCGAGCTATAGATTGTTACTATGACAGTATTTTGAATAAGTATAGCTATGAACTCAGCGTCCAATTCATTACAGAAATTACTTACTTTGATTTCCATAGCGAATAGATTTTCTTGTACAAAAATTGCAACACCTCCATGTTTAAATTTCTGTCTGCCGAAATAATTTACCAATTTGTAATTACTTATACCGTCGGACTGAAGCTGTTCACTTGTCAGCCATATTTTACTAAAACATGTCACAGAGTACGGGTTGTCTGATAAGAACATAGATAAGTCATCTAGTTTGTTACTAAGACACTGTACATTGAGATGAAAGATACTTAAGTTTGAGTCCCTTGTTCTGGTGGTCACTTAGTTTGAGGTTTCTATTGTCAGAAGTATCCTTAGATATTTTTGAATCTAGCCATATTTGATGGGTAGATGGGATGCTTTCGGCTCTATTCATAAAAAAGTCCTTGATTGGTGAACTTCATCGTCATTTCGTTGATCATCCAGAAAGTGTTGTCCTATCTTGAAATTGAAGCGGTTGTATAGTATCTTCCTGGGCCAAAAGTTTGCTTCGTATACCATTTCTTTGAGGTGGGGCTCCACTCCAATCATAAATGACTGGTTATCCTTTTAAGTGTTTTGTGTTTTCAATTTTTTGATGTACACATTATCTGTTTTTGTATGTTCTTTGATATACTTCTCTATGTTTTTCTCGTTAACTGTGTCAGGCACCCGTGATACAAACAGCCATATCATCTTGTTTTTATTTTTTTCTTTTCCATGAAAATCTTCGTTTCCATCACCGTTTCCCATGTTGTATCTTCTTTTTCTGTTTGTTACATCTGTCCTGTTTCTGTTCGTCGCTTTTTGTCAGCATTATAATTTCATTCAATTTCTGCTCAGTATGAATTTGCATTATTTTAGGTGCAATCTGATCAATTTTGAAAGTTGGATAACCCTGTAGTTGGGAATTTCCTGTTTCTGAGTTGTTCTTAGTTACCTCTGATTCAATGATAGGGTTTTGTTTGTGGTGCGTTTTTGCAGCTGGGCTTTTGTTTAGTGTTTTTTTTTTCGGCTATTTGCCTGGTGTTTTTAATTGGCCTTGATGGGATGTGGATATACTGTTCCAATTTATTTTCAAGGAATGCGATTTTGTCATTCATCAATGAGATGACTATCTCTTTGTCATTTATGATTGTATCTTTATCCCGGATTATAGATCTTAGAAGTTTGTTTTCCTCTTTGAGAAATATTTCCTCTGTGATTATTGGATCACTCTGACTAATTCGATTGCCTTGATTTGGATTTTCTGCCGAGTGTTTGCAAACTCCCTTTTTTGTATCATTTGCTTGCCTGAGACAAGCAGGATGAAACACTTCTTCACATTTATTACACTTTACTTTGTTNTGAAGTGACAGTGAACTTGTACTTGTCGCCATGTTTGTTAATAGACCGTCGAATATGGAATACCCTGTATATGTTGTGGTTTCGTAAAGTGTGAAATATAAAATTTGACCTTGACGTAAAAAAACAAGCGTCCATCAACTTTTGAATATTCTCGTTATACTGTTACTACGTCGTATTAAATTTCAACATTAATAAGCACATATTCTTACTCTTGTAGTTTACTGATGATAAGGAACTCGGAAATATGTGCTAAATTTATCAACTTATTTTCCCATGTTCTATTGAGATTATCAGTGATTTCATCCTCCCATCCAATTTGCTCTCCAAATGACCTGTGAGAGAATTTTTCCCTATCACAATTTTTGAAAGATGGCGACGGGGGTTGAAAACAGACATTGCAATTCTCAAAACTTTATGTTTTGTGGATTTTTTTGTTATCTGAAATATCTTCGTCAATTTTGTTGAATTTCTTTTTGAAACAAGAGAAATCATTATCTAGGTTCCACCAAACACCTAAAATCTGTTATGCTGAAGTGTCAATGTTGTTTTGCAAACATTTCATGGTATTTGCTATGAGAGAAGGGTCAATATTATCAAGAATACTTGGTATATTGATCATTACGTTGCAAATTGTGAATCCTCCTTGCTTGTGAATATAAATGATTTCCCAAATGATTCTTTTCCCCTCTTCTTCACTGTAATCTGTACCAAGGTAATCGTCCATAATATAATAATGATAATCGTCTTTATTCATCAATATAATAAAAAGTGTGAACGAAATAGTGAAGTATCAGCCTAGGCTGCTTTTCAACTTAACCAACAATAATAGCCGTTGGCAGCATCTGGACATTTTTCAATGAAGTCACATTCATTATGGCTCCTAGCTTTTTGGCCAAACAGGGTCCACATGTGGATCCGAAGAAAAATTGATTTTGTATATGTCGTGTTGTCAGTTTCTGTCCGATTCCACGTAAAAAGAAGTTGTGCCAAAGTGTTCACGTTTCTGACATGCTCCTGAAAAAACATATTTCGAATGTCCCCAGTAAATGCAATGTTTTTGTCATTAGGAAATTTCGAAGAAAAGTATATAGACAGTTGTACGAATCTGAGACAATCAAAAGGCAGACATTAAAGCAGAAGTATCAAAAACTATTCGGAGCTCATTTGTTTTGTTAGGATTGATTACACCAAAATGTGGTAAGTACCACAAATTTCGAGCATTTCCTGTCTCATCTAACTCTTTGACATAGTTTTTTTACCGTATCTCCTATTTCATTCAGTATACAGTATATAGCATTCTTCTTACTTCCATGCAATATGAAATATATATCTTCCCATAAAAAACCGTTTCGAATTTGTTACCTGCTCTTACCATCGTGGAATCTAAAATTTGTTGAGCTCTGACATTTTGTTTGGATACTACACGGGTTTGACTGCCCTAAGAATCCAATTTATAGTGACTGAGTTGTGTAATATATCCAAACTATCTTTATAATCGGAGTCCCCCAACAAACTTGGTGTTTCAATAGAAATAAGTAAATGAAAATATTTTCAATAAGCATATCTATCGATTTATGATACTTTGTGGTCAAAATATTTTTTTACAAATATTAAGGAAACAAAACATGCGTTACAGTATAATACAACTTAACTATGCTATACAATCAAAATCATAAACACAATTCGAAGTAATAGTGACCTAACGTCAGGCAACTTCAGCCATATCAACTGGCATCCATTTAGAACTCTCTACAGCATCCCATAAATTGCAATCGGCGTCAATTTTATCTCGGTTCATCTTGTCAAAATCGAGTGGCACAGAGTGTTCTGGAAAACAAAATTTGATCAAAAATAGATCATGACAATGTTACAAATTTACCATAAACTAACCTCTAGGTCACAGTTCATTATGATTTTAGAAAGCCCTAAACTACTTGTATACATATTCTGTTAGTTTAATTTCTTTTAGAAAACCATCATATGAGTAAATTCGCTTAAAATGAATTCCATAGAATGATCTGATGTTATATGATATTTTCTGTAAAATAAAACAAAGAGGCCTACAAGCAAAGAGTGTGACAGATATAACACCACAAAACACTTATTAGCTGAATATGATATGCTTTTGATAGAAAACCACTTTAATGGCAGTTTGACTCCTGATAACAATCGTCCTTCTCTCTTTAAAGAAAGACTGAGGCATGTCCTTGAAAGAAAGAAGTCATTGATTTGGAGGTTGCACTAAATATACTAAAGAAGTCAAAGATATCAAGCAGATGGTTTACTTCCCTCATCACTCTAGAAGTCATGTTAATGGTTTTCGAATGAAAACGGTCACAAAACAACTCAGAACTTTTACTGCTACTATTTTCATTAAACTCGAGTTTGTCAAGTGATGCTAAACAGTCAATATTATATGTAAAATATACTGGTGAAAAAATTCCTATCATTTAGGGTTGACACATTTAACAATTTTCTAATCAAATCATAATGATAACCTCTCCATGTGAAACCCATTTTGAAGGCTCATACTTTCAAAAAATGATTTTGTACACTCTCTACCCAATGAGCAACAGACCAATTTCAAAATATTGCAAGTGAAATTAATCGATGATCGGTTAATGAAGCCTCATATTTCAATGATTTACCGAAAAACACTTTCACAACACCAGAACAAAAATAACGGTCTATCGACGCGCGTTTCGCTAACCAAGTTAGCATCCTCAGGAGATCATTATGAAAAGGGCGTCGTGAGACCGTAATTTTTGTTCTGGTGTTGGGAAAGTGTTTTTCAGTAGATTCATTTCACGCCAGAGGTTCCAGTACGAACCATCATTTCAAGGATTTTAAAAATCACACTGTCAACATAGGATTGGGATGTGAGAGCTACGCCCAAGTCACGAATTTTGTTGACCCTCGTTACTGTGGAACTGAGTGAAAAAGTAATATGGGTACAGTTTAGGAGTGGAAGATTTAGAAAACGTCATACAAAAATTTTTTTTTACCTTCAATGACATTTCATTCAGTGACGAATAAAAAGAGAAAGCTATTGAAGTTGCTGTTTTCCAACATCAAGTGTCAGTCAATTATCTACAATCTCTGTACATATATGAAAATCCCGTAAATGACCCTTATATAAGATAAAAGATGTGGGCCAGAATTCATTATATCTGTGTTGTTGGACTTTATTTTCAACAAAAAATCTCACAAAGAAATGTATCTGCATTTGTTACAAGGCATTGTCACTTCTGCAATAACAGTGAAAATGAGTATATTTCAACAATAAACGGGACACATTCTAATTAAAACTTTCTTGGTAGATGAACCACTAAAAAAATCAACCAAAATTTCTGCTGTACATTACACCTAAAATGCTTCTGAACGTCCAATTCCACTTTGAAAAAACCTCTATTACTGTATGAAAGTAGGAGGATATGTCCGAAGATGTTTTTATATGATGATTATTAGATAGATTATAGCAACAAAGTTTCTGATTGGACCATTCTGCTAGCTGAATAATAGGCTTGTTAATGATTTTACCTATTTTCTTTACCTCCTATTGTTTATTTGTGCTATATGTTTGGTGGACTCGAAGTTAATTTTATGTCCAGTCTGGAGATGGAAGAGGAGAGATGTTTGTTTTTTTTTTAAACTATTTTGAATTTCTTGGGCTCTGGTAGATACTATTCCAGGTCTGACCAATGTATTGTTGGTTACAGTCCCCACAAGTGATGCTATACACCTGTTGATTTTCCATTAGATCTTTTTTCTTCTCAGTATTTTCCTTATTTTGCCTGTGACACCTTTGATGAAAAAGAGTGTCACACTTTTTTATTTTGTGGCAAATCTTGTTCTTGTTTGAAAGAGTTTTTTTTGTTTATAGCTTCTTAATGGCTTGTAATCTGTAGCCATTTTTTTAAAGGGCTCTCGTTGATTACTCCAGTTCTGCTTCCCTATTTGCTTACTCTGTTAGGTGGAAACAAAGAGTCACTAATGTGTCGACGATGGAATGCAGTTCGGTGGGGTGGAGATGGAATCCCGCATGTACGTACCAATTGGTGTGAGTGTCCAGTGGAGTTCCTTCTAATGAGCAGATCGAAGAAGGGTATTTTTTTACACCATTTTGATATGAAATTTTGTTCATAATTTTTAAACAGCTACCTCAATTGCTGGAGTTCTTGCAGTACGATGTGCTCCTTTCAAGTGAAGATTTGCTACAAACGTCCCCTTTCACATAATCCTATGTGGGTGCTTGAAATTGTGTGAGCATCAGAAAATATTCTATTTGGGAAGTCACACCCTGTTCCCGTCAGCAATGTGTGTCTGCCATTTGATATTTGTAAAATTCACCAGTTTTTTAATAAACAAGTTTTTATGACGTAAATAATATCACCTATCTAGCTAGTGTTAAAATTGTTTATGCTGGCAACGAAATTAGTACTCCAGACTCGTGTAGCCCACAAAATAACTCTACTACACTTCAACGGCTGATTTCACATAGAAACAAGTGAATGACGTATCCTGTATCATATGGTTATGAACCTATGATCATATGAAGAATTTTTCTTAAAATCATCCAGGGATTATCGCCCTTCAGGATCAGCATTCAATTATGAAACACCCTATGTATATAAGCCCGATTTAAAAAACGATTTACTTCTCAACTGATTATCATATTTACAAAAAAAGCTTGTTCCAAAGTGAATATACAGTATCTCTATTGATTATTTTTTTTTTGAAATAAATCTCTTCACATCAATCAGAATATATTAAAGCAGTAACCATTTCATTTGAATTTTATCCTACCCTTATTTTTCATAATTCAAGTTTGCAGGAGTAGGTGGAATACAAATATAATGTAATACTCCACAAAAGAAGACTTAAATTTGTAGTTTTTATTTTAGCGAACATTACCTATAAGATCCAAGTCGTCTTCTTTCTTTACATCTTGAGAATTTGCTAGGAATGCACTTTCGTGGGACATCTGATGTTCTGATTGGTCATAATATCCTTGCTGAAAAAGTAAAGAAAACCTTGTAAATAAGTAGCACGAATATATAAAATGATCCAACTTGGTAATTCTCTCATTATTGGAGATGAGGATATTGTTCAAATTGACAAAATAGGTAGCAATTTTAACGCAAATTAAGATTACAGAAACAAAAAATAACAATTTTTCTCACTGTTTTTTTGGTATATAATCCACAATCTGAAAAATAAACAAAGCCAAATCAATAATTTTTTGACTTTTTTTCTATTGAAAGCTTTGTAAAGTAATATTTTTCAAGACAGAAAATGATAATTCAGTTATAAAAGCATATGATATATTTTTTTTATGGTTGGAAAGGAATTGAATTCTGTGCTGCTTAGATGGAAATCATACTTGAACATAAAATGGAAGAATTTGTGGACACACACTCCAAAAAGGGGGGGGGAGGACCGCGTACACATGTTTCTGTTTCTGACTGTTGCCCTCATCAGCACGTTGCGGCCAAGTGCAAAGATGGGCAACACCTGGTTACAAAAAAACATCACATATGCAAGGTGTCACTAACACGAGTCAACCGCACATTTGTGGTTTCAGTTGAAACACCTAGCATTCCTAGGCAACATCTAACATGACACCATATCAGGGTCCAGGATATAAATACAGATATAGATTTTATAAAAAACGAACACTTTTCAAAATTAAATCGATAACAAAAATAAATTCTAAATTAAAAAACAAGAGATAATATTGTGAAACTAGCTTCGCAATTACTTGAGATTCAACATGACACAAAAATTCAGTAGCTCAGGTGCTTGAAATGCTGACCATTCACTTGTAAACATTGGTGGATTGATGTTAGAGTAGAGTTTATTCTCTTGTGTGATAATACATTACTGTTACTTAGTCATGTTCCATTAAAGAAGTGTATGAACTCTTCGCTTTTATAAAACACATTTTCTTTACCCTTTTAGCAAATTTAACTAGGACTAGTTCCTTCCACTCGTTTGGTATCATATTGTAATATTTAATAGACAGAAATCTGAAAGAGT